ACGGCGCGCGGGGGCCGTTTAAGCGCCTCCAAGAGCATAAATAATCCTATTAAACGTGTCACTGGCTGTGTCAACAATCTGACAAGGTAGCGGCCTATCTTGGCCGCCGGCCGGTCGTAGGAACGCGCGCGCACACGCCGCTTAGAGGCGTGCAACACGGTACGCGTACAACACGTGGGCCGGCCGTGGCCGAGTCAATGTCAGAAAGTCGCGGAAATGATTTCATCGGCGGGGAGCGACGCGGCTACACAACGGGTGCGCAAACATTATGCAACGTTACTCGCGCCGTTGTTACTCGACGCGCGCGCGCACGCTCTCTGCTCACTCGCGTGTATTCATATACATGTTCGTAAAAAGTCGCCGTAAAGTTCAGCTCGCGGCGAGAGAGAGAGAGAGAACCGATCGAGACCGATGGCATTTCGAGTGGCATGCGGCCGATCTATCGCTAGGAATTGAAGACGTCCGTTTACAGTTAAAAGCCGCGCGGCTCGCCACCTGTTTGTCCGTTCGGCTGTTCCGCAAGCCACTTCACCGGCCGCCTCGATGTGTGGGTAAATAAGGAGTACGACGCGGAACACCGCGCGACTCGAGTGTCGTCGAGGAGGACGGACATCGTGCGCGAGGTGTCATTGAGTGATTTTTAGCCTCGTCCGGAGATTATTATTTGAGCAATTTGCGGCCGCCGGCGTTTCCCCGGCAAAAGTGCTGTCGGGGGGGTATCGATAGTCCTGGAGTTATCGGCGGGTGAAAACGCATGGCTTGTCTTGAGTCAAGCCTGAAAGANGGGGGGGGGGAGAAGTGCGAAATGAATAACGGAATCTTGTTTCACGTTCGATTTTTCCAGCCGCGATATTTGTCTCCTAATGCGAGTACGAGTCAGTCGTTGAGATACAATACTTTATATATCCAAGTGTGTCACTTTTTAACGCACGCATAAACGTCTAAAAATGACACATTTGATCGGAGATATTTTCATATGTTTTTTGAAGATTTAAATTTACGCCATGTGAAATGTTTCATCGACACGTTAAATTACAATGTGTTAAGTTAACAATCTTCTTATTCCGTGCGCGTCGTTACTCCGGAATTCACTCTTGAGCGCGGAATTTCACGGTTTGTTCCGTGTATTACAGGTAGAAATCACATTGATAGCAAATCCCGACTTTTGCTCGCTTCTTACGAAAATTGCACCCCACATAAATCCGAAACGCGAATCGGATTCAGCGTTCAAACGCGCGGCGAGAATACGGAGCATTGACGCATCGGCGAGAGAGATTCGGCAGATAAGAAAATTTCTCCTGGACCGTGAGCGCATGTATCACGACGTTATATCGTGGTTGTCTAATTAGGGAATACGCAAACGGCTCACGGGCAATTCCTCGCGCATCTCTAACCCGAGGAAAAGATACGCCGGCGTAAACTCCGGCCGGAAAGGTCACGGAAATTAGGTCAAAGCGGGGGGGATTACACTCGATAGCGCGAACCGTTAACGAATTAGGAAACAATTTTTCTCTTCGCGCTCGCACAAGGCTAAATTACCAGCATAAACCGGCGCGCTCACGCATTTCCAAGCGGAAATTCCCGAGGATTTTCGATGCGTCGCTGTAAAAATAATCGGTACGGAGTAACGCGACGCGCGATCTTTCAAGCTGAAAATATATACACATCGGTGGGTTAGCGTTGTTTATTATGCCGCGGAAGGAAATCGAGACGTTTCATCGGTGACGGTGACTTTTACGCGAATGAAGATCGCAGTATCGATAAACGGATACACGGAGCAAGATTGCCGGCACAACCAATTTTACGCTGTCGCAACAAGATCTGTCAAAAATCACGAGCGTTCCCTCGTGACTTTCGGCGGCTAGATTCTCCGCCTCCAACAGGAACAAAAACGAAGGAACATCCGCGCCTAACCGGGTCGAGCTTTTCACACGAGGCCGAAACCCAGCTCGTTAAGATCGGCGATGTCGGTCACTGTAAATTTAATTAAGATCACAAGTGAGAGCAGCTTCTTCAGAGAGCCCCCCGGAGTCTCTTAAGAGAGTTAACGGCAAGCAAAGGAAATAATTGTATGCGCCGAGAGGAGGATCGTGAAGATGCGCTATCTCGGAAAGATATGGAAGCGACGCGTCGATATCGCAGTCGATTCCCCATGAGAAANGGGGGGGGGGGGGGGAGAAGGAGACTAACTATTCTTAGGTGCCGCGGGACTCTCACGTTAGGCGCGATTAACAGTACTTCTCGTGGGCTATAACTTTCCGGACACGCTTCGACGAGGCTTTGTCGCGGGGCCCGCTCGGTGGCGAGCCCCTCGTAAACCTGACAATTATACGAAGCCGCGTTCTCGCGTTGCCGACCGCCAAGAGTCGCAAATGAAATAACTGCGAGCGACTAATAACCCCGCGTCGTCTTCTCCCGACCTCTCCGTCTCCCCCGCTCCGTTCCCCGCGCGCGACTCCGAGGAAACGTTATTCGCCGGGTTGCATCGCCGCGAATAAACTGAATTAGGAACGTGCGACCGCAAATTAAGACGCGCTCCGTGCGTGCGTGCACACGCACGCGAAGATTCGCACGACGCTGCGCGGACCACCCTCGCGGTAATTAAACGTTCACCCTTGCCTGGCTCGGAAGAAAGGAAGGTCACGAGCGCAGAATATTTTTCAGCGCTCACGCCCAGAAGGCTGTTATTTCCTCGAATTCCTCGGCAAATTTGTAACAGCCGCGTGAATCTCACCGCGGTGGTCTTTCCCGTGCGAGTGTCAATGATTCACGAAATACGTTGTGTAATATAAGCTTGCGTAACGATTTGCGTCGTAAAATTCTCAATGTGCATTCAGCCTTCGGTCGGGAAGAAGGAGGAGAGGGAAGGAAGAGGATCGATCGTTTGACGAGAAATAAATGTATCTGCGCGTCGTGCACTTCGGAAAATAGCAGCCTCGGCGCGCATCGGCGCTCATTGCTGAACGCTTGTCGCGCTGTGTTAGCGTGCGACGTTCGTTTATTATCGATCACTGTTAGCGGCGCGTCCGTTATCGTCCCGTACGTACACTGACTTCGCTTATCGTGACCTCCGCGCGTTTTCTCACTGTTCCTCTCCTCGACTTCTGCCCTCCCCCCTCTCTTCGCGAGGCTTACTCGAGTATTAAGTAACCCGGTAATATTAAAGACGCTCCCTCGATAATTAGGTATGTTAACTTTTCGCTCCTCCTCGTCACGGATTTCCTTCACGCACGGAACGAGAGCGGGCTACGAGAAACGTCAGTTACTTCCTCGTCCTCAGACAACTGAAGGCAACGAGACGCTGCTGGGTTCACCACCTATCTCGCGTTAATATTCATAACTCATAACGGACGAGCGCGCGCGCGCACGACACAATGCAGAAACGGAGTATGTAGAAACGGACGTGCGCGTTTCAGTCCCGCAGAAGGCCATTCAAAGCGCAAAACTTGGCAAACGACGTCGACGTCGTCGACGAGCCGGGCGCGTCGTTCCTAAGTTGCATTCCTAGAGCGACGAACGAACGGGGGAGGATGAACGTAGATAGGAGGTAAAGATCGATAGAGGTTCGTCGACTCCGACGACTGACCGAGCTCTCGTACTCTACCCGATGGGTCGGGTTCGTAACTTTCCCAAGTACGGAAGCCACCCGCGGTAGTATCGAGAAAGCCGGATTTGCATAATCGTAAATACGGTCAAGCGTCCGTAAATCCACGGTGAAATAAAACAAGCGACTGACAAACGACGAATGGGATATACGCAAGGACGTTCGGGACGTCGCCGACGATAAGCGGCGGCAAACGGATATGCAATGTTGTATCGCGCGTGAAATTCGAAGTCGATTCTTCATACGTGCGTGCGCGTAATATCGCCGTTGCCTCTGCGCACGGTTCGAAGCCGAGTTTCTGCCCGGCGACGAAAATATCGAATGCGATCTCGTCGCGGAGATCAATTATAAGAGGAAAATCTACTCGAGTAAATTGTTACTTGTTTCAAGTATTTCGCAAGTTTTCATTTCGAACCGGACGATCGCTATAACCCCAGTAGCATAATTCATTGGCGATACATTGGTCCGATACTGGTTATATTGATATTCATTAGGGTATATTGAACGAATTTTGCGCAATATAAAGTCAGTCGGCCAAACAACCAAATTTGTTAAAGCAGATTTAACGTAACATCTGCTATAAATTTTTCCGACAGCTTACTAGTAGAAATATAACAAGATTTTCATCAACTGTTGGCAGAACATGATAACAGATTAATCTCTTATCAGGTTCTGCTAGCAAATCCTAACAGAAATATAACAGGATTTTTATCAATCGTGCATCAATCGTGTAGCAGAGTATGATAACAGATTAATCTATTATCAGGTTCTGCTAGCAAGTACTATTATGTTGCGGTTGGCAAGCTATCGACAAACTTTATAGCAGATACTGTGTAAAATCTGCTTCTGCAGTTTTGCTGTCCGGCTGACATATTGGACAACATTCGTTCAACGTACCACTACCAATGAATGTCAATATAACCAATATTGGATCGATATATCGTCAATGAATTACTACTACTAGGGAATAGGACTTCGTTTTAAGATGCGCATACATTTGGCGAACAACGAACGAGCAGCGAAAGCAAACTCATTCCTTTCATTCGTCAGATTCTGGCAAAAATGCGCGTGTCGTAACAAATAGAACGTTTCGGGCCGATCTGCCCGTAAGATGGTTTCCAAGAAAATTCGCGCGCGTTTAGACACGTTCGCTGTTGGTCCGCCAAACGTGCACACACCTTTAACTGAACCGATGCTCACTGGCGAACTTCGTTCTTTCCCTCCTCAACGCTACGTTTGTCACACTCGTCTCACTCTAAAGGCAGAAAAGTGCGTTCCAATACGGTCGAAACGAGCGAACCGAATGCTCCCCCTCCCCCAGGTTGCTCTACGCCGTCGCTCGAGACGACGACGACGAGAATCGGTACTCGCGAGCCGTACGATCGAGCTTACTCACCGAAGCTTCCTATCGAGGCTCCTCCGGAAACTGCTGCATCCTGCCCGTTCGCTTAATCCCAACGGCGCGTATCACAGAGACATACCACTTTTTTCCCGAACGTTCCGTCGCGCGTTCACACTCCGGGAGCGTGCGGAAAGGCAGTGTCCGCGTCCGAGGTGTTCGGGATCCTTCCGGAAGTCGCGTGAGGCACAATGAACACGATTGTCACAAACGATCGAGACGACGAAGGAGCGAATCTGACGAGAGACAAAGAGAGAGAGAGAGAGAAAGAAAGAGAGAGGGAGTTCCGCGCGTCGACCGTGCGTTCCTGACGGTTCCGTGAAGCCGCCGACGCTACCACCCCCGAGTATGAAACTCAAGCACGCGGAACTCGGTGGCGCTTCGCGTACTGTTTCGGCCGTTGGCGAGAAATATTCAAACGGCCACACTGCTTCACGCTGCTCGCCGCGCGATCGACAGGTGGCGCTTGGCGTGGCTCCTTGAAGCCGTAAAAGACGCGCTGCTTTGAACCCCCACGAGAGAGAGAGACCGCCGGCGAATTCGCCACTGGTGAGCGGGCGTACGCGAGCGGTTACCCGGCACGATCGAGCACGTCCGCGGCACTGTTTCGCGACGCGCACATCATCTCCTCCTCCAACGTACAACGCGCTGCGTTCCTCCGGACGATCGACGTCCGGCCGTCGCCGGCCCGACGCTCCGCGCGCTCACATACAGTCACTCCGAGTATCGCGACGACGGGCATAATCCGCCGGCGAATAACGCCCGGTCGCCGGCGTTGCCGCTCGATCGTCGTCGTCGTCGTCGGCGCGCTACTCTATTCTTGTCGCCCGGCACTATTCCCGCGGCAACGCGACACTCACCGGCGGGAGGCGTGGTGCGGCTACTGCACCGTCCGTCCGTCCGATTTGCCACCGGCGAAATGATCGAGAACCGGCGTGACGTTGTCGTTAATCGCACGACGCTGCGTCTCACACGTTCGATGTCAATGCGATCGACGCCATTATCGACTACCAGCGGATCATCTCGTCGTGGACGGCTCGACTCTCCGGCGATAGGTCGCACGAAGGTTACTGCTGCTGCTGTTGTTGTTGTTTACCGCGACTCGCCGGCACGGCATAGCGTAACGCGCACGCACACACGCGCTCCTGCCTCGACACAACGAAGGAACGTTCTCTGACTGTCGGCGCGATCGTACTGGCCCGGACGACGCTCGCGTCACACACGACTCGCGGCGGACAGTAGTAGGTACGTACGGGGAGACACGACGGACGGGCGACAATGTGCGACGACGCGCGGACGGAGCCGCTGGTGGCCGACTGCCGCCGACGAGCGGGCGGCCGCGCTCGCTCGCTCCGTCCCGATCAGCTGATCGCCACGCGCGCGCTGCTAACCGACGTCGTCAGCGGCTGGCGACAACCACGGGGTTGCACACGCGATTCATTTCGGTGCGCGACCGGGGCGACTCACGTTCCCGAGTCCTCCTCGCGCTGTCCGCTCCTTCAATCGCGCTCGTCGCTCTCACAGCGCGCGCGAAGATTTATGCACGCGCGCGCGCGCACACACACACACACACAGGCATGTACACGCACTCAGTTAGTACGTGTGTGCGTGTGTGTACGTATATCGCGCACGTGCGACACCACCACCACCACCACTGTCGAGAGCAGAGAGCTGGCTCGTGCGTGCGTACGCACGTGGGCACGCGCGACGCGCTCCGGATGCCTGTCAACCTCGCGACGAAGACTGCGCGCGTAATGACAGGTTACTCTCTCTCTCTCTTTCTCTCTCTCTCTCTCTTTCTTTCGTGATGCGCTATCTTTCTGTTTTTCTCTGTTTGTTATCTCGTGGACTCTCGTACGTAGGACTAACGAGGGGATCGCACATCAAGGGAGAAAAGGAAGCGAACGAAGAGAGAAATACAGAGACTGAAAGATAAAAATTACGTAGGCAAACAGAGAGAGAAGAAAAAGAGAGAAAAACGAAAGAGAGAGAGAGAGAGTGTGTGTGTGTGACGGAGGGAAAATAAGCGAGAGAGAGAGAAAGAAGGGAAAGAAACGTTGCGATGTCGTCGTAGACTGAACCAAGTACCGCGCGATTCGTCACGCGACTTCAACGGTGAGCGACGGCCGAGCGTGACAGGAAGGAAAATCACGAGGCGAGCGTGGTGGCACGAGCGACAACGTACGCCATCCGCTCGTGTCGGCAGCCGGGCGTGCACTGCCTTCCCGAGTCGTCGGTTGGTTCTCCATCCTCGACTCCGGCTGGCTGCCTGGCCGGCTTGCTGGCTGGCTGGTTGACTCGCTCGCTCGTTCGCTCGCTCACTCGCGGCCTCCGCGCGTCGACCGGAGTCACCGCTCGCCCGCGTATCGCACCGGCTGTGATGACGGTTCGCCCGTCGCGATGCGGTTACCCTTATGACAGGGATGAGTAGCAGTGAACGAAAGGAACGAACGATCAATCGGGAAGAGCCGGGACCCGTGACCGGCTGTTTCTCCCGAGCGCGTGGACGATTATGGATTCTTCCTCTCTCTTTCTAAATTTCCTTCAGAGTTGTTCAGGTTTTTGTCCAGAATTTACCAGAAAACAGAATAAAATCGGAGGTGGCGATAAAAATAACTCTTTCAGAATTTTTGTCTCGATTTTTTAGTATTTTGTTTCTCTTTTTTAGAGGAAATAAAACGTATTGATAGAAGGATTACAGAGTGAAGTTCCACGCGAAAAGCAGAGCGACAGCCGAATCGCTCGAATCCCCGAATGATTTTTCACTCGTATAGAGTCGAGCAAATATTTTCACTCGAAACTCTGAAGCGTGAATCTGGCGTGTTCGGCACTGTCGCGGGAAGAAAAAGAATATTCACTCGTATATAGTCAGAATCCACTCTCTGAGCTGGAATGAAACATTCACACCTGCGATTTCGATGGGCAGGATCTTCACCGTCGTTTCGATTGGATATATTATTACTTTTCGCTTGTTTTGAAGAGGCTTTTATTTCAAGAAATTCAGAGAGTAATTTTTGTCGGCGGGAAAGAACACTCGGACACAATTGCGATCAACGCCTCTCCGTGGCGTTAGCGTCAGTCAATTTATTTCTTTTTCTCGCACGTGTAACGCGAGATAGTACAAGTTAGCAGATTTTACTCATACTGTTTTCTGCAAATGTGTAGAATAAAAAAATAGAGCGATATTGTATACACGTGCGCATACGTAGAAATTAAATTTATATCTTATCTGTAACAAATGATAATTCGATGACAATGTGATGGAGTACCTCACGTCTCGTATCATGCTTTCGTGTCGTTATTGATATAGTTCTCTCTCTCTCTCTCTCTCTCTTGATTCGCGGCACTGCACAACTCTCTCGCGACTTAAACTCTCGCCTGCCACTTGTGAGCTTTCGCAACGTCCCGTTTCGGATACGGTAAACGACTAAAATCGTGCAACGACGCCGGTGAACGGTAATGTTAATCCGAGATTGAAATTGCCGTGCGCGATTTACACGTCGTTTCGCACCGAATATGGAATTCTCGGTCGATAACACAAGAGCGAGGAGAAAACGAGAGACGCGTCCCTCGAAAGTCTCTCTTTAATTCTTTCAACGAGCGAATAAAGATTATAGATTCTGTGACACGCGACTGTTAAGTGAGATCGCTGGCGATTTAAAACAGATCTTGCAAATTGATTCGTAAACTTGTTATTCTCTCTTTCTCTTTCTCTCTCTCTCTCTCAACGAGCGCAGCGAGTGTTATCTTCGCCTAACGCGGATTTAGACGCATTGCGGCTTTTCGAGATTCGTTACTTCACTCCTTCTGGCATCCGTTCCGTAAAAGTTTCAGCGACCAACGCGAACTTATTGAATAAGAAGCCTAAACTTTTCAGTTGAGATCACTGCGAACGTGAATAGTTAAATGCAGTTCTAATTTCCTGTTTGTTAACTTTTTCTGTTAACGATTTGCGAAAATCGATGCGATGGATCGACGGCATGAGCATTTGGTGATGCGACGTTTTATTTTCCATTTTTGTTTCTAAACTATTCCAAAGTTGCATGTTGCGAAATAAGAGAAGGATGCATCTTAATTGGCGAGTGGAAAAGTCAATTCAAATAATAATTCGACCGAATCCTCCGTGCTTTCAGCTATACGACGTCAAGATGAAAACAAAAAGAAAGCTTAGGCTGACGTTAATTTCGAATATCGATACACAGAAAAAAATCAGTATCAATTCGAGATTCATATTTTCATATAGGATGAATACGAGTAAATGTTGCAACTTTTTACCACGCGATATTAGTTATCAGTATACACTTTATATATATTCTCATATAAACAAAAATATAGTTTTAAACGAAGGTAAAACTTTACATGATGGAATTCTACAAGGTTCCACTAAAAATATTATATACATATTAATCAAGAATAATTTTTATAAATTGAGGGGAAAAATATTGAATAAGGAAAACAATATTTTCAAATTGATTCGATTTTTAGTTCTGAAGATATTTCTATGTAATATTTTTCTCCTTTCGACTTGTGAGAATTACTCTAAAATAACAAGAATATAATATTTTTAGTGGAACTATACGGAGCTATAGAATTTCTTCACATATAAGTTTTATCTTCATACAAATTATATATTCTTGCTTATATATGTGAGAATATGAGTCTTGAATCGATACTAACTTTTTTTCCCATATACCTGTCCCGAGTGTTATGCATACCGCACGCGCGATTATTCAAACAACGCGAGGTTAAGCGCGTAAAGAGAATCGAGAGGATCGCCGATCGCGGGACAGAGAATCTGCCGATGAATGGCCGGGGGCCGCGGATGTGGGTGTTGCTATTCGAGTACTTCAAAGCGGGATCAATCCGGCGCTTTTTGCTTCGTGTATGTGTGTGACCGAGAAGTAGACGAATCAATGGCCACGCCTTTGAGAACCGGCGCCGTTCGCCAGTCGAAGACAAAGACGCCCACGTGCGAATTGTATCTCCCTCTCGAGATCCGAAAAATCCTCTCTAGGAAACTATCTCCGGATAATTGCCGTTCCGAGAAACTAGGAGTACGACTGACTCGCGCTCTCTGTTCCTCCTGCGCGAGATGCGTGAGATATTGTTGTTAGTCATCGGGCGGCCTGAATTTTTCGCCGCTTATGTAAAGATGCATCGGATGATTCTCTCTCTCTCTCTCTCTCGATCTGCCCGCCTTAATTCTGCAATCTTGCTGAATCGCCGTGCCACACTACGAGCGTGTTGGCGCGTCGCTTAATTTAACTTACATGCAACCGTTATTTTATCTTAACTTTGTCCGACGAGTCATAATTAAATGCACGCGTTCGCGGGTTACAAAGAACAGCAATGGTGCACTGAAAGAAAAACAATTGCTATTTATAATTATAATTATCATAGTAAAAGAATTATAGTCAGGAGAACCATTTCTCTGGTAAACATTATACTATAACGTCAGTGATAATAACCTTGCATACATAATGCTGCTCCTACTTTTGCGGTTGAAACCATAAAAATAGTATATAGGTAAGGCCGAAAATAACTACAAATTTCTCTGTTTGTTTTGCAGGATGGAGAGAGAGAGAGAGAGAGAGAGAAATCCGAAAATGGATTTCGAAGATTCGTGGGTCGACGAGTCCGAGACGCGCCACCGAACGGGAAACCGAAGTTCCAATCTTGCGAAACAACGTTCCCGCGCACAGCATGGATCCATTTAGACGCGTGAGAATGGCCATAAACCAGCGGTTGTCGTGCGAAGCGCGGCATTATGCACGAGATGATCGCCCGGAGTGATGTATTCGCATGTGCAATCGTGACACACCGCGGCTCTGGTGGGTGGACCGAATATAACAGGTAAGTGAGCGCATTTTTGCGTCATCATCGTCGCGAATTCCGCCTGGTTGTTCGCGCGTGATGCGAGAGCGTGTCGACCGGCGCTGAAATTACCGTAACCGTGCGACTGGCGTATTACGTGCCAACGCTAAACGATTCGATAACGACTCGCGAGAATTTGAAGTGCTCTCCCGTCCCGGCGCGCATTCGTGATTTCCTGCGATCGCAACGTGGGATTTCCTCCTAGCGTCGAATCGATCCGTTTATGTTATGTGGATGGATGTGTGTAATGATTAAATATCGTTAGTGCGTAATTTGGTGCCTTCTTCTTGTTCCCTCCGTTATTTATTCCGTTGTGGTCCTAGATCAAGGTAAATTTAATCAATCGTTACATTGCCGCAGGAAATTATTAATGCATTGACCGCCACGCTGATTCCTATTGTTTATCTAAAAGATTAACTGAAGTTTAAACAATTAAAAATACAGTAAATAAACGCAATTCACGATACTCATGTTGTTAGCTCGTTCCATTGATTTCATTGATATTGATTATATATTTAGTCTGTTATATGTAATTTATGTTTCAATTAAAATTGAATTTCAAAAAATCAGTGAGACGCATTAATGTGCAGCGTCTGCTTACATAACTCGACGTAATAGTTAACGTGTTAATCAACAAAAAGCAGCTTGCCGCTATTTTATATAATTGCATATATCTTATCTCAAAGATACGTTTTCTATTTACATTTGTGAAATTCGACAGGTAATCCGTAAAAAGTGATAGTAATCGTCCAATGTACATTTTCAATGTTATATTAATTAATAATATAGTTTGTACATATTAACGTAGAAGTTGGATAAACAATTATTAACATTCGGATATTTCAAGATACTAGAATATCATAAAAGAACGTCTTCGGATCTTCAAAAAGTCTATTACAGTATGAAAAGTGAACTATCACTATGCTGCCATCTAACGGCCAGGTATACATACAATATCCATCCACATAACGTAGGTAAGTGAAAAGTAGATAGCGAAGAGAGACATTACCAACAAAATAGTCTCATATCGCAATCAATAATTAATAGGATTATAACATCTCAACGATTAATCTATAAAAACCGGATATCACTAATTAAAACTTTACTTAACTGATAAATCTCCTGAATAATCTAAAATGAATAAAGAAAGTCTTCTGAATGATCTAAAATGAATGAAGAAAGTGACATTGATTCTCATGATAGTAACATACACGATATTTCGCGATTTTGTTCACAATACCTTTGTGTACCTTTTAAATCTGTAGTTATTAATATTTTCTTTGGAACTATATTTTTTTTAAACAAAATCAATTTCCTCCGAGACAAGATATCTTGTATTTATATAACCGTAATCACTACGTTTCCCTCGCATATTAGATTGAAAGAAAAAGCGCAACACAAACTATGTTATAAAATTGGACTTTTTTCCAAATGGCGAAAGTAGAACAATCTCAGGTTTCTGAGCCAAGTACAGTGATAAAATGATTTATCGATATTTGCTATATTATTACTTAATATTAGGTGTATGCAAAAGTTTTTTAAGCTCTCCCGTCCTTTGTTTTTATTATTATTTCTAACTACTAACTAGTAAAAATAAGTCAAAATAACGTATAGCATTAATTATTATATTATTTTAGTGAATACGTTATTACCAACATAAGGAACAATACATAAACTTCAGATGCTTCTTTTTAATTTTACCCAACATATATTTTTTTAACATTAATTTAACAATAATTGTAGTTCAACAAGTTACAAAAATTTCTACAGAAAGAACAACAATAAAAAATTTATTAGACTTACGATAACCCACATTATCAAAATCCAGAAAATAGTTAACAATGTGTAATGAGCGATTTTCAACCTGAAAAAGCGAACTATAGCACATACGTTCCATGAAACAGAGGATATAGCCCAAGTAGCAAGGTGAATGACATTTTAATAACGTCTTATTGACGTTAGAGATATCATTAAGACGTTATTAAGACGTTATTAAGATGTCATTTGAAGTCACCTTGCTACTTCAGGGGAGACACATTGCGCGAAAATAATACTCACCTTCTATATTTCACGATTGCTTCTTCCGAAATTTCACGTGTCTCTTTAAATATATATATACGAATACCATATATTATGTTTTTCAAATGTTCTTCCCAATCCACGTCTCGCATGTTAAAGTTGAAAATCTCACGATCAACAGGATTTAGACGATCCCAGAGCTTGATAACGGCGTTATTCTGAAATTCCCACTGACGCGTCGAGAAGAAAGCTATCACCTCGCTGAATATATGTATTTTCTTATAAACCTTCAATAACCTAAAAAATGTTAATTTTATTAGGTCCGACAAAGAAATTTACAGAGGTTAGTTATTTATCGTAACATTAACTCTAGAATGCACAAAATAACTCTCTTTCAAAATTTACAGCCTGTTTCTTTCCTTTAGAAAAAGAATCTTTTTCGTTTTGAAAATAATTTTTAGAGAAACTTTATCTTTTTACAACATTCAGTTTTTAAATTTGTCGAAACTAAACATTTTTTAAATATTAAATAATTATGGATGGATAAATTTCATAATTTAGTACAATATGTATAATTATGTATATTTATACATGATTATATATGAAATATTTTTTAACGGAGTGTGTTTTTAGTTCGGTTTTTATTAGTTAATTAGGCGTAATAGTTGTGAAAAAATTATACATTAGTGCGGTTTAAAAAGAGAAAAGATATGTTCAGGCTTCAATATAAGCGTTATCTCACATTTCTAGAAGTCTAATAAGAGATATAGAATTTTAAAAGGTGGAATTAAATAGTGGCTCTTACAAGTGTTTATTTTTTCCATACCCTATATGAATGACGGAGTATATATTTTAGTGGAACTTAATAAATATCTTACATCGGTTTTCGGCCCGTGAGGTAAGCCAGAGCGTCGACTATGATAGCAGGTATTATATGCAAAAATATTTTGTATATGTTATATACAAATCTGTATTTCTCTAGAAATAACATGTAGTACCAGAAAACTTTCGTGCTCGCCAAGCGCATGCCGTATTTCTCGTTTATCTTCATAAATTTTTTCCAAGTAATAGGATTTTGAGACGACGACACGCAATTGTAAATCGGTTTTCTCTCATTTTCCGGGATGTCCGGGTTTGCGTTATCGATGCTGAGTAAAATATCTCTAACGAAAAAACAAAGACATTGGAAATAATGAATAAAATTATGCGTTACTATTTGTTTCAATATAGTCGACAATAAAATATTAAGGACATTGTAAGATGAATTGAGTTTGATAAGAAATCGATAAAAGTTGCATTTCGTATACATTGAAATATTATGTAATTGTTCGTGCAATTGGCAAAAGATTGACTATTTTTCAAAAAGTAAGATATTTGCAACTAAATTTGACACTTTTTATATATGTTCCTTGAGATAGCGCGCCTATTTTTAACTTTTATTTTTAATATCTTCTAAATTAAAAATAAGATTTTGATGGAAAACTACTACAATATCAAAGACTAATGCAGACATTATGTACAAATGTCAGAATTATGGATCATTTTGTTATGAAAATACATCATCAGCGTCAAAAAATATTGACTTACTTTCTTTTGGCGATATCCCAACCCGCAACAATGATATTCGCTATTACATAATCGGCAGGCATTAAATCCGCTTTATATTCGGGTACGCAATATAAAGTATGTAGCAAACCTAAAGCACTGCCCATTACTACGCCTACCGCTCCGTATATGTTGTTGACCCATCCAGATACCGGTTCTTTCGCCGTTGATATTACAATCGATGGACGTACGATACAAACCGGCAATTCGACGCCATATTGTCGTACTGTGTCTTCGGCGATCGCCTTGCTGAACACGTAGGTATTCGGCCATTTGCCTATTAATCTGCATTCGTTCAATGCAAACAAATAAGGATTTAAGAAAATAAAAATACTTTTCGCACTTTCAATATTGAACGAACTAAGATCGACGGATACGCCGTTTGATCCGAGTCGAAATTTTATATTCTACATTAAATCTTCAAGTAGAGAAAACGGAAATAAGTTTCCACATATACCATCAAAACGGCACAATAAGTGTTCCATAAGTGTTCTTACAGCTATAAAGGGAATTTAGTCCTCCAGAGCGTAAATTTAAATTCCACATTAAATCTTCAAGTGGAGAAAATGACATTAACTTCCCCATTTATAGCACCAATAGCACAATAGGAGACTTTTGAACATTTAATATAGAACCAAATCAGACTTAAACTAAGGCTAAAATTTCGATTCTGGGAGTTTTTCGATAGGGTACTTACATCGGTGTTATTTGATCCAGTTTCTCATCGTCTAAAACATCTAATAACATCAATATCTTGTCTGTCTCGAAAGGAGGAGGATAATACTTCTCATCGATTGACATGTACACACAATGAGAATACGCAGTCGATGTATAAACGAATGCCTGAATAATAAAAAAGAAGTAAAAACAATCGAACGATCAGCGTGAGTTTAATAAATTAACTTATGCGTCTACGAGAGAATGAAAAGAGAGAATGAAGAAACAACTGAAGTGGCACCTCTAAATTCGGCATCTCTTTCATAAAAAGGAGAATTTCTTTAGTTCCCCTCACGTTAACATTGATCACATTTCGAATTGTTTCGTTAAATCGCACGATGGCTGCCATGTGGAAGATTATATTTGTATCTAAGAGACGTTTCCGGTTTTCCGGTGACAAGCCCAGATTTACTTCACCGAAGTCGGCCTCTATCATTATTACTTTAGTGATATAATCAGGCTGTTCTTTCTTCAATCTATCGTAAATCTAAAAATAGAAGAAAAAGATGAAACAGGGATTACGATTGATTTCTATATAAAGGGATTTATTCCATTCATGTTACTAACAACGTCATCGAAGTGTTCTTTGAACCGATCTTCCACTGATTTTCCTTTCTTGCTCTTCATAGTTATATATATCTTACCTATGCCCGGGCAGCATCTAAAGGTATCATTACTTCTTAATAAAATTCCCGACAAATGTCTGTAATGCGATTTCTACACTCTATGATAGCATTATACACAATAAAATCTTACGTTTAAAATTTTATTAAAAAAATTAATTTTCATATCTACTAATCTCTCTTAGAAACAGAACACATCGTTTTATCCACCGTCTTGTAATATGTCTCGTATATATTTCGTATGTCTTTAGGGTAATATATTTCGTTTATTATGAAAGAATGTTAACTGAAAAATATATCTTTCCATGCTAAAATACTTGCCGCAGTAATCTTTCTATCAGAAGTATACCGAAGAAACCGGAAGCACCCGTTATGAGAACGTTACGTCCCTTGTAATATTGTGAGACTTCGCTCTGGCAATTGTTAGTTTCTGGAGGATCCGACATGTCCAACAAGTCATCAACATAGGCTTTACTTTTTTGTGCCATTTTGTCAATCTATTCAAGCAAACTGCAAATTTTATTTACCCTTCTAAGTACTACATACACTTTTTTACTGCACAGTCAGCAAATAAAAATCCACAGTTACCAGTTCACCGATCGCTTTTCACCGAGCTAAATGCTAGATTCTCCGGATTTTCGCTAATTCCGATTTTTAACAATGACGAGGAGTATTTATACAAAATATTACTCCCTGTCAATTTAATTGCCTAAATAGTCGTTATATAATTAACCAACACTTATAATTTAGTGTGAGACAAACGAACTCAATGACACGCACGTTTATACTGAGACAAAAAGTGAGTACAGAGAAAAATAAGAACTGAAGAGTGTGGAAGGGATATTTTAAAAATTAACGTGACAGTATAATTGATTCGACATTCGTTAAACGAATCGATATTCATTGGAGAAATACATTTCCTATTGTATTTTAATGATCACAGTGACTGTGCTAATAAAATACAAAGAATCATATATTACACACGTGTATATACAGGGTGTCCCGAAATTAGATCGACAATTCGAGTGCTCACGTAACTTTGGTAGGAATTTCATATTTTGAGCAGTTACTGGACAATTTAATTAATTTATGTCTAGTAACTGAAGAGTAAAACTATTTGGAACCTCAATTAAGATGTAACGCTTTTCCTGCGCACAAAAGACACACAAAATCTGAACCCATTTATTAAACGAAAAGAACAATAAATGGATAAAAAAACTCAACTACTACTCAATTGATTAACCCTTTTGTTACGGGTGTCGACTATAGTCGGCATCCGCGTGACGACCTGTGTGTGCGGGTGCCGACTATAATCGGCGTCCACGCGACGACCTGTGTGTACGGGTGCCGACTATAATCGGCGTCCACGCGACGACCTGTGTGTACGGGTGCCGACTATAATCGGCGTACGCGCGACGACCTGTGTATCGGGTGCTGAATACTCATAAAATATACGCATTTTCATGTTTTTCATATAATATGACGAAAAAGTTGTTACCTAGCTCTTAAAATAATATATATACAAGAGAATCCCAAAATGGTGTTGAAAGACGTAAGTGCGAACATCGAAGACTACCGACGTGCAATGTGCACATTTCGCGGCACGGTGCCCCGTTCAGTGGCGTCACTCCAGCGGCGCGGATTGCCGTAACGAAAGGGTTAATAAGTAACCCAGCTGTTCATGAAGTGGGCAATTTTGCTCTAGGAGTATCTCTGAATAAAACTCTATCAAGTTCTTGTCCATTTCCTAAGCGGTATTGTTACAGCTAATAAAAATTTATTAATACTAGACAGTAACTGAATAGATGTCTAGGAAAATTACATATTTCTACCAGAAAAAGGACAACAAAGCAAGTAATTTCTGTTAATAAATCCATGTCTGCAAAAGAACTATTTTAAGCCCCTGAAGTTTGTCGGTTTAGTTTCAAAACACCTCATATATTATAATTTAATGTCTTTTGCTCTGTTTTTCATCGAGCGATTTATCCAATCCGATGCGTTATAAAATGTATTTTGTATTTTAAATTAGATGCATTCATTAATAATTGGCATTCATTATGACGAAATTTCCGCTCAAATCGATTAACATATTCAAGAACTTACGTAAACTTCAGTACGTTATGTAAATATGCACACGAATATATTAATAAAATACATAAAAATGATTAAATAAATAATTATACATATGTACACATATACACACATACGCACGCACGCACGCACACACATACGCAGATACATTGCATTGTATGCAAATATATCGTTCTACTGACTTATTTCATTTGTCTTCATTGTCTTCATTGGACATGATACGACACATAATTTGCACAAAATAAAATTAATATTCCGTGAATCATTTGCACTATTTTCCTTATTCTTTTATTATATTTGTAAATTCATTGTAAAATCATAACCAAAGGTCATTCAAGTCACACAGCGAAAATATTATTAGATCTAATTAGGAAAAAACTAAATTTTTTGTTCAGTTTTTTTGTTATATAAATTTATTTATAAAATAAATTTACGAAATGAAATAAAAAGTATCTGTAGATTGACAAGAGTCATCATGGTCGCAGAGAATTTAATTATTGTATTTTCTTATCGCAGAAAATACATATTACTATATTGTTTGAATAAAATTTTACATATTTTAAAAACAGAGTCAACTTAGAAATAAACGGCATTGTCTATCTCTATTACGTGAGTAACACAAATAATAAAGAGGACATTTACAAATATCTTCTTAGAAACAAAGTAAAAAGCATAATAACCAGTACTACCGAGGTATGCTAATATACACGAACCGTTATTATTTCTTAGACTGCTATGCATACAGAGTTGGCTGTAGTTCGTAGACATAAACAGGAAATTGATTGACGTGTGTATAAAGAATCTTAAATAGCTCATTAACCCATTAACGCCTGAACAGACATTTTTCAGTACCAAAGTTCAGAGAGTCATTATACGATGCATTTGATCGGAAAAAATTTTAGAACCACTGTTCCCTATGTTTTGAAGGTTGCTCTTTTGAATGGTGGTGGTTAGAAGACCCTAAAATGAGTTTTTTTATGGAAAAATAGCAAATTAAAAAAAACAGAAATTTTTTGATAACATTTTTGTTTTAGGTAATTTTTTTGCTTTTGCATTTTTCTACATACTTAAGACCGATAAATATCGCGTCCATGACACCAAAACTAAAAGTTATTGGTTATACATAATTAAAAAAAAATTTTTTATTTAAAATGACGTCCGAAACAACAAATTTTAGTTTTAAACTTCAGCAATTTTTTTCTCGATAACTATGGACTTGAGGGAAAATTTTCTAAGAACAAAAAAGTCTTAATATTAGTCAAAGAATACCCTCAAATTTTTTCAGGAGTATAAAAAAAAATTTTTGACTTTCCAGAAAATGGGAAAATTGAAATTTTCGAAAAATTGTTTACAAAATCTGAAAAAATTTGAGGGTATTCTTTGACTAATATTAAGACTCTTTTGTTCTTAGAAAATTCTTCCTTAAGCCCATAGTTATCGAGAAAAAAATTGCTGAAGTGTTTTTGAGGTCACTGATCACAAATTCAACATTTTTATTGTATAATTAGTTCCAAAGAGATTTTTTAAATGAATCAGTAATGTAATATTGAGTATTGCTGAAATATTTCGCTTTAGTAAAATACATACGTTGCTTAGCCGACAAGTGCTATTGCCGTTGCCCGACTCTCACCACGGGGAGGTGAACGTAATTTCGAGAGCCTTATTTTTTTAATTTTTTGTTTATTTTATGTATTTTATGATTTTTTGGGTATTTTCTAATATTTTTTCTAATTTTTTTTTGTTTTTTATTTATTCTTTTTCATTTTTTTTCATGAACTAAGAAGCAGGACGAGCATAAATAAATGTTGCAGGTCTTGCACATTTTCTGTGTTCTTGCGTTACATTTATTGGAGTATTTTCAATATCTTTTATTGAAAGTAATAATACTCTCGTGTACTTTTTTATTTTTATGCTTGTCAAGATAGTACTGTACAATTTCCAAAGATATTTTTTTGTTCCAACATTCTTCTCGTGCACTAAATTTCGAATGACAGTTGCATTGGTGATTGACGATTGTATCAATCTACAAAAAATCGACCACGTCCATTTTTTCGCTCTTATTCCTGGAAGTAAATTACTACAATGGGCATCATGTTGATTGACACCCCCCATGAACATGTTGTACAGTCTAAACGTCATAGGAAATGGTATTTCTTCTTTAGAGTGACTGTTTTTCGAGTATCTTCTAACGGTACTTCTTCCAGTTCAATGAGTTCTTCTCGAACTAGTTTTTGTTTTTTCCGTTGAGGTGGATGTGACATGTCAAAGAGTAAATAACCAAATGACAGTAGTAATAAAATAATTATACTCTTTTTGGATTACTTTTAAAGATATTAGAGAAATAACTACTCACGAATTACTATCATAGAAAGCTTCTTCAGTAATACAGTGAATTCTCGAAGTAATATGATTTATTGATGCAAACAATGTGAAGTAATGATATATGGTTAATATTTCTATGTAATATATGTCTAATTCAATCTGATTGCATTTTAATTCGAGAACAATTTGAAAAATATTACATTACTGATTCATTTAAAAAATCTCTTTGGAACTAATTATACAATAAAAATGTTGAATTTGTGATCAGTGACCTCAAAAACACTTCAGCAATTTTTATCTCGATAACTATGGGCTTAAGGAAGGATTTTCTAAGAACAAAAAAGTCTTAATATTAGTCAAAGAATACCCTCAAATTTTTTCAGATTTTTTAAACGATTTTTCGAAAATTTCAATTTTCCCATTTTCTAGAAAATCAAAATTTTCTTTTATGGTCCTGAAAAATGTTGAGGATATTCTTTGACTAATATTAAGGCTTTTTTGTTCTTAGAAAATTTTTCCTCAAGTCCATAGTTAGTATCGAGAAAAAAATTGCTGAAGTTTAAAACTAAAATTTGTTATTTCGGACGTCATTTTGTCTAAATAAAAAATTTTTTTAAATTATGTATAGCAAATAACTTTTAGTTTTGGTGACATGGACGCGATATTTATCGGTCTTAAGTATGTAGAAAAATGCAAAAGCAAAAAAAATTACCTAAAAAAAAATGTTATCAAAAAATTTGTTTTTTTTTTAATTTGCTATTTTTCCATAAAAAAACTCATTTTAGGGTCTTCTAACCACCACCATTCAAAAGAGCAACCTTCAAAACATAGGGAACAGTGGTTCCAAAATTTTTTTCGATCAAATGCATCGTACAGTGACTCTCTGAACTTTGATACCGAAAAATGTCCGTTCAGGCGCTAATGGGTTAAAGTGCTACAATCAACAATATTTTGATTTCGTTCCGAAATGTACTGACAATACTGAAAATCCATAACATACTTAACGTGAACTACAGATTTTCAGTCATGTCAGTATATTTCGTAATGCATTCTTTAAAAAGCGTTCAAGCGAAGAAATCGTTTAACCTTTTGACAGCACACTGCCGAAAAGTCGCTTGCATCGCAAACAGGGTCACATTAATCCTATATGCACCACGCAATTTCTTAAATCCCACATTTGGAAAACTGTAAAAGAAAGGAAGTTGACAAAATTCTAGAATAAAGTCTAACTCTTCTACTTTAATGTTTGATTATGCATTCATAGAAAATCGAGTTTCAAGTTACCGAAAACAAATTTTTCGAATTTAGACAGCAGTCTCACAAATGGTAGTGTTTTACTTAAAAATTCGTAATTTATATACTTTTGATTATTTTGATCTACAAAGATATAGAGTAATGAAGTTGAGAAAAATAGTTTTAACGAAAAAAATATGACTATCGCGCGTTCGAGAAACATATTTTTTTTGGACTAATGACTAAAGGATATTTTCAAGTATCACCCTATGTAATCTTGATATAACACTGTTATTTGTTATTTTCAAAAAAAATACACGTTATCATAGTTCCTTCTTATGTTCACACACACACATATTTTTATAAAAAAAAATCACTTGCGGCGTCAAATTATATACCGACCACACACTATAAATTTAACTGACTCTGCGACAAATTCAGATAACTCCCAAACACGCATTGACCCTTTCGTTACGGCTACATTTTTGTCGCGAAACGCATTGCATTATATAGTTATACTGGTGCATATTTCAGAACAACTGCTCTGCGCGCAGTTGTGCTAGCAACGCTTCTGTTTGTGTATTAAATTATATAATACACAATATTAACATCAACACAAAATATAAATTTAAATGTAAATGCTATATCTTCAGCGATTATAGTCACTTATCGTATTCAGACATTCAGTCGTTCATCGTATTCGGTCATTTCACGGCAGGTGATTATAGATATCTGACATAACGAAAGGTCATCACGAAAGTCATTTGGTTTGTCAGATTTGCATCGTGTCTAACGAACAGAGTGACTCTCTAATGATTTTTCGGTAATGGGGAGAATTCATAGATCACACGCTTCTCTTCGCGCTACAAGCTCTTCAATTACAATTCACTGGGTCAGTCTGATCCGTGAAAAAGGATACAAAGGTTAAACGAAGGGAAATTTTTTAACTATTTTCTAACTGTGTGCTATACGAAAGTTCGAAGTCGTCTTCTTTTTATTACGCACGTTTCTAAAAGAAAGCTAAATTAATAGGTGATATAGTAAAACAGAATTTTTTTTTTACTAAGAAAGTAAAAAATAAATCACTTTATTAAATAACACACTTTGAAGATATAAGATAGAAGATAAATAGGTATATTTATATTTCTTCATCTGCGATTATATATTTCTCATTATCTCTTGATAGTTTCGATGTCTATCGTATAAAAATATAAAATCAGAAATTTAGTTTGTTAAAATACGCGATATTGTGAAACATCGCAATATACGGAAGACTTAAGATTTCAAAACTCGGGAATCGATATGATAGGATAATCGTATTGTTTGGATTGTCTTTTCAAAGGTTTACTCCCAGTATCTTTAGCGTCCTGAGCAAATCGTAACACTTTTCCAGCTTCTTTCTGTCCAGTCGCGCAACCATCTGCTGTTGGCTTTTCAGATACATCCGCCGCTTTTTCTCGGCATGTACTCTCTGGCATATCAGGTACAATATATAAATTACAAGTCTTTTCAAAATCAGCATTATCAGTGATCGTACAATCCTTGATAACCTCCAGAAGGCTTTCATTATTATTATCGTTTGTCTGTTCCGTTTCTATTTGCGTCTTTACAGCCAAGAATTGAGCCTGAACAATAGAAGAGATTTTATATGAGAAGTTTTAAGATGAAAAAAAATTTCTTTCCGGAAAGGTGAACAAACTTGCCTCCATAGACATTGCTTTAGATCGCCAATATCGCAGCTGTTTCGAGATATCGTAATTTGCTTCTTCTCGTGTTAATATCTCTATAGATTGCTTCTCAAGTTTCTTGTGCAATTCTTCAAGCTCTTTCCTCTTTGCGGCTAGCAAGGATTCAGTGTAACTAAAAGTTAGAATTTACATTAAACTATTGCATAAAGCTATAAGGAAAATAAACTTAAACAAGCAGAAAAGTTCCTCAACTTACTCGAAACTATCGTCATCGAATCGTACTTCTTCCACCTGACTATTTTTCTTCATTTCAGCTTTCAACTTATTCTCAAGTTCGAAAATTCTGCTCTTATATTTTTCCAACAGGTCCGCATTCTCCTGTAGCGTATCGATCGCATCAGTTTCCCACTTTCGAATCATGGCAGCTTTTTCAACTTTCAACGATTTAATTTCGTTAGCTTTTTTATTCAACGCTCGTTTCGCTTCGTTATATTTGTCCTGTAGAATGTTCATTTTATCCAGTAACATTTGCCGGCGATCTTCGACTTCAGCAAATAAGGAATTACCTGTGGTACGACAAAGTCTCAACAAATTACAAACAATATATATTACTGCATATTAGAAAGTATTCCGAGTATTACTTTACCTTTACACGCATCATTAGCAGGAGTTATTTTTAACGATTCCAATTCCATACGGTTTGCGGCCAATTCCTCCCGTGTGTTTTCCAACGCTATGTTTTTCTCTGCCAACTGTTCCTTTATCACCTGATTATACACATTCTGAGTGAAATTTACAGTACGTCTCGATTAATAAATACAAATAATGTGCCTCATGTCTTACTTGCAAAGTATCTTGTAGTTCTTGAATATAATTCTTCATGTTAGCAAGCTTTTCCTCCATCTGTTCTTGCTTCTCCCCTTCGTTTTGGAGCAATGTAACTAGTTCCTCAATTTTCTCCTTATATTCTATTAAATTGTCCTCATTAAAAGTAAGATTCTGTGATCGTTCATTCTTAAGTTCTTCATGCTTCCTTAGCTCCTCCCGCAGCTCAATAATCTCTTGTGCACTTTGCAAAACTTTTGTCTCTAAATTTACGATATGGCTTTCGTATTCTATTCTCTCAGCTCTGTACCTAAGGAATAAGGATATGGTTAAAGATACAGTTTAGTTTTTCTATACAATATATATACACAAATACATCAAATATTAGTTTGTAGAAAATAAATAAATACCTAGCAAAAAGTTTGTGTTTTCAAAATATTGAGATATCTATGCATGATAAATGAATAATAAACAAAGACAACATATATATAAAAAAAAAGACACACAAATGCCAAATGGAGAAAGTTCCAAGTCTTTTAAATGATACTTAGGAAATATTGTGTCTTTTATATGAGTGTGTTTAGTATATATTTATATATTATAGAGATTCTCTTAAAAAACAGTGGTGAATTCTCTTTGAAACAAAGTCGTAGTTCTTACTTTTCCTCTCTCTCGACGAGCACTTTCTCCGCTTTCATTGTGCATTGTTCAAGCGACTGCTCTAAAGCTTCGTTAGCCTCTTGAAGCTCTTTTTCGAGCGCTTCGCTTGCTTTCAACCTGAGTCGCAAGACATATAATTCCTGCCGGTAGCACTCGTTTTCTTGCTTTAATTTCTTATAATCATCCTGAACGATTGAACTTTCCTCGAGACATTCTTCGTTTTTCTTATCCGTCATGTTTTCATCGCACATCTCTGACATTTTTCCAGGTTATACGCGCTCGTTGCTTTGAATTTCTGTCTCTCTTTCGGTCTGTAGCGAGTGACTACTGGAAGCCCCGAGGCCGCGCTCCATACGTCACTCTTCTTGTTTTGAATTTATCGGTTAAACTAAAGGAGAATTCACATCTACAAAGCAGAAAAGCAGCAGCCAATCAGAACTCGCGCTAGTCTGCTTTGTCTACTGCTTATACCGCCAGCATTTGTAGCGCTTGTTACGCACTTTATTAATTCATCCTTTCGACGTTCTGAACGGCGCGTCGCCACTGTCAACGCGGGATTCCCGGCTGACTATTTCGGAGCTTGGAAGGGACTATGTGAAGGATTTGTCACGCATATTTCATAAGTTTTACAAAGATTTTTATTAACACCATAAATTATGATTTATAAGCCTTTTGCTTTGCTTTTTCTAACAATATCAATGCTCCGGGGCTCTTCTTTGATTTGAGCTTTTTCACCAATGGTTTCAATTTGGCGAGCAACGTAGATACCATTTTCTTCGACTCGTTTTCTGTGAGGAAGACCAACAAGAAACACGCCCTGTTAAATCTTATCCATTTTTCCAAGACTCCCGTGGTTAGCTGTGGTATCAGCGTTTCTCCGAACGTAGATACACCCCTCTTCAGCAGCTCTTGATCGTTTTGAATAAGTTTCTTCAACATCATGTGCAAACCCGGATGCTCGACCGCGTTACATTCGGTATCGCCTTGTTTGATCTTCGAATCTGCTCCACTGATGAACTTGGCGATCGACTTGAATGCGGCGTTCAATTTCTCGCCGGATCCCACCTTCAATATCGCCAGGGTAACCATGGCTATGGCGCTGTTGGATAACCACATAGCTGCGTCCGTCGTTACAGCATGGAGAAGCGGATCGCTGATTGCCTCGAGCAGCTCCCTTTCCCGGACGTCGGCCGACTTCTTGCTCGTGGAATTACAATCCCCCTGGCGCAAATATTCCACAACATTCGGCGAAAAGTAATGGGAGTCTCTCCTGGCCACGAGATACAATATGACGTGCCTCCCGTGCTCGTTTAGCGCGATATCGAGCAGTTCCTTCTGCATTTCGGCCAGTATTATCTTCTTTACGATAACGGTATCGTCTATGGAATCGAAGAGCGCCAGCAGCGTTACGTAGCCGTGTTCGGACGTGCAGACCGACTTTACGCTCTCCTTGAGAGCTTTCAGAATGATCTTCCTGTCTTTGTTGTTACCGTGCCATATACACTGCACCGCGACCTTCGCCCCCATTTTCGTCCGACTCAGCGCCACAACCGAGTCGCGCAGCATCGCGATCAATTCGCTTCTATCCGCCGCCGAACACGCACCGAAATATTCCCATAGGATGGTGTGCAGCAGAGTCGAATGAACAAGGCCTTTGTTCAAGATTCTAACCAGGTTTGCTTTGACGGCGGACAATGTGGCTGACTTCATGTCCTTCGCGGTCTTGAATACGTCGGACAATGTTTTAACGGTTTTGTCCTTTGCCTGTTTGTACATGTCGCCGTAGAACTCTTGCTTGAAACATATCTTGTCGTGATCCTTGCACCAAGTGGAGTACACGATCTCGATGATGGGAGCTGATACTGTGTGGCTCATTAACTTGACGACATGGCCGTGAAACGCGGACACAACTTCGTTTCTAATTTCTTGCGAGCCGTGCTTCAAAATGGCTCTGACACAGCTCTTGGCGTATTTTGTTTGCGACATTTCCACGATGGACGGTTTTATCTCGTGAAATATGGCTCGTCGAACGTCATCCTCGCAATGCTTAATCATACATTGAACTACTCTCGACATGTCGTGTGTGAATATTATCTTGCCGTAGAGACCTCCCAGACAATTATGTAACTTTCGTGTTAACTCGATACGATCTTGCTCAGTACAGTCGGATCGCCGTAGCTTCTCATTGATCTGCTTAGCTTGAATAACTAATTTATATAGTTTGTCGTCGTTTAATTTCTTGGCTTTGCGTGTCTTTCTCAACTCTCTCTTCTCCTTTCTCAACTTGAGCCAATCTGTCTTTTCAGTTGTAGTCTTATGCTTCGTTGCTTTTGAACTCTTCCCCTTTGAATCCTTCTTAATTGGAAATGGCTTCTTTACACTTTTATCTGCAAATGTATTCTTGCCTAGAGTCGCATATAATGATTTCTGAAACTACAATCACTACTTTCATTCTTTTATTCTTACCTGCAGGCTTCTTATTTAAGGATTTTTCAAATTTCACTTTCTTCTTCTTTTCGTCATCTCTCACTTCCTCAATCTGGTTCTTCTTAACATTGGTGTTTTCACTACCACTATCGTTTTCTGCACTTAAATTCCTTGCTTTTCGCTTCATCTTTGAGCGGGTTTCTGTAAAATATGTTATACAATATAATAATGTAAAACTACTCACTATCAAATTTAATACATGATATAGCAGATAAATCTACCATAGTATCATTTACATTATATATATGAGCAAATGTGTAAATTTAAGGAAACGAACTTTACTTTTGCCTGAGTATGAAGACTTCTTTATTTAACATAATTCTAACCTAGTGTATCTCAATGTGAAAGACGTTTGGATTTCGAATTTATCATATTGTAAAAGTTGTAGAAATTTAAAATATATTTCCTACCTCAAATTTCAACGAGATTGTGCACTTATATATATATATATATATATATATATTCTTTGATATATATACTTTGATATATATATTTATATATACTCCTTTGATATATATATTATATATATTCCTAAAGAAAAGTTAAAAATCAAACATTTTTACACTCTACTTGTATGTGCTTGGTAAATCCACGTGCTGCTACTTTGCAGCATTTACTTTGTAGCATTTCTGCAGTTTCAACATCATGGTAGCGACATCTTGCGGCTAAGACTTTATTTACAAATGCGAGAGACAGAAGGCGCGAGTTGTACATAAAACGTATCGACATGTAGGTCGGTATTTATAGTCGGATCTTAAGAAGAATTCACATCTTCACAGAAAAGCAGAAAGCAGAAAAGCAGCAGCTTGTCGACAGTTTCTGCTTTATCTACTGCTTATTACCAGAGTTCTGATTGGCCGCTGCTTTATATAAGTATTAGAATTTATTATTATTTATATTAATTATTATA